TCCTTGGGCCATGTCCAATTACAGGCTGAATTTTGAGCTTGAGATGCTCAAAATGGAGCATAAGCAGGTGATGTCTGCCCTGCAGAAATTGCCCATAGAGATCCTTGATGCCTTGGAGAAGTGCTCGGGTCTGATTGAGGAGACTGAATCCTTCAGGTAAGTGCCTGATTTATCATGAGAGGAACTGTCTCTGCCGTTCTTTTTCCTTGACCCAAAGTGAGGGCTCTGGTTCCAGCCTGTCTGCCTCTTAGCAAGCAGCCTGCCTTGTGGCCCTTGGACTTGGGCCTCTTGGACTCAGTGTGGAAAAACACTGAGGCCCTCCCATCATTGTCCTGCCAGCCTTGGGAGCACTGAGACAGAAAACTGGTTTGCAGCAAGAAGGGGATGTCTGGCAGCCCCAGGTCCTCTGGGCACTGGCAGGGGCTTCACAGACCTGGTTTCCATGGGACCAGTAGACCGAATTTATTCCTGTTGGGACTTCTGTCCTCCTTCCAAGAGTGTTTGCTCTCTACCTGCTGATGATTTCCCAAAATAATGAACAGTTAAGAACAGGTGTGGACTGTACTCTGTTCTCAGAGGCACAGGTTCCCTTTTGGCATCAGGGTTCTCAGAAGTAGTTTGATTCTCTCTGGAATTTGGTTATTCTCTGGATTTGGCCTGCCTCTTAGTGATGCTGCCTTGGCTACTGAGAGCTCCATTCCTGGGCAGTCTTTGAGTCTGGGACTTTTCAAGGTTGGTGGTACTTGGAGGTAGGGATCGCAAATGAAGGCTCTCTGGGGCTCACCATATTTTTGTGGTTGTTCAGTTATATCAATGTCCAGGTCCTATGAGAGTGTACTCAGCTACAGAAGAATGTACATATGTTGAGACTGAAGAACAGACTACCATGGAAGGAGCAGACTGAACTGCAAGAGTCCTGTGAGGAGCTGAAGAGGCTCTTGTAGGAGGCTCATGAGATGATCTGTGACTCTTCTGCTGAGCAACAGCAGGTAGGCTGAGACAGTGGGGGCTGGTGCCCACCTGTCCAACCATAAACATAGAGACACCCATATAACCATCCACCCATCCATCTAGACTCCCACCTACATACCATCCAAGTGTTGATTCTATGATCATTCCCAAGTTTTTCTGGAGAGTTAGCCTCTTTCAAGAATTTGGATAATTGTCAAGCAAACCCTCCTGCTCTGCTAGAAGCTGCAGTACATTCAGAGAGCTGGGTCAGTCACATATCATCCACCTACATGTCATTATGATCAGAGGTTTGCTATGCAGAGATCTACTTAGGGAACAGCACATAGCTTTCATTGATGATGTCAGTGGCCAGTGGCTCATTTGCTTTGCAAGGGTCATGTGAGATCACAGGAAGCAGCCTGCAAGGACTAGAGTCCAGCCCCAGTGCCAAGTGAGTGGTTTTCATTGTCAGCATTTTGTGTGGCATGGGGTCTTCTTTCTTCCTGCATCCCAATGAGTTCTCTTCCTTTTGGCAAGCGCTTGCGTCATAGTGACAGATGCCTGAGTACCACCTTCTCAGTCCTTTTTCTGGGCATGGGGCTGGACAGTCCTCTGGGAGCATCATGGACTTTCCAGTCTGGAGCTGCCTGGATGACCATACATGTGGGAGGACTTTGACAGGGTGAGGGTTGGGGTGACAAATTTGAAGCTATAAGAAAACCTTTTCTCCAATCCCCTTAACATAGTCTGACTTAGCTGTGTGCTTCCCTAGGAAGTTTTAGGCCCCAAGAGATGGATTGCCATATTGTGGGTCTCAGTTGAAACACCTGATGTGCATAGTCTAAATTCAACTGTTCATTCAGCATGATGTCCTCTTCATTGTTTCCTGCTCACTTCTGATTTCTGTGGTCTATGTGTTATCTGTG